CTGGCAACTGAGTGCCTTCAGGGAGGTAACTTGGCAATCATTTACCATTAGCTGCAAGCAGTGCCCTAAGTCAAACATATATTTTGGAGAGACAACTTGGGAGAAATCTTTCTGTTTCCCACACATGTTAACTATAGAAACCAGGTGAAAGGCATACGTGTGTGTACTCCATTGTACAGTTCTTTCCCATGTTTGAAAAAATCATCATAAAAGAATGGAGAATGACACAGTACTGTATTTAGAGAGTGAATATTGAAATTTAGAGAGTGAAATCTTAGCTAGGGAGCCAGAGAATAACCCCAAAGGTGTATTGCAGGAGTTACATCCATGTATTCCAGATGCAGGAATAAACCACCTAGTCCCTGCCCTTGGGTCCAGAGAATGCCAGGGGGAGCACATAGTTGTTCCTGGGTGCCGAGAACCTGTTATGTACCTGGATCAGCGTATGGTTCAGTGTGACCGCACAGCCACACTTCCCTCACAGTGCTCCACTGTCTCCCTGCTGGACCCTGCCCATCTCTCTACCCAAGTTGTACCTCATATCCTTCCTTCCACATAACTCCAGAAGATCTGAAAATGTCAGGTTCGCTCACTGTCTCTCTAGACCTGTCTCCTGGAGTTTCCACTACCTGCTGTGTCTCACCATTTAGGGCTCTGCTTGAGTGCAGCCACTCAACCCAAAGACACCTGCCAATCCCTAACTTCACACCGTCCACCCAGTCTTTGATTTTAAGCCTTGCTTGTGTGTGTGTGTAATGAGGTAATCTATGCAGGAGTCCGTGTTGCTGTCCATGATCTGAGGCATGGCGAGTTTACAGCACAACAGCTGCCCATACTCTGTTCATCACATGCTGATTTAAAAATCAACCGGCTTTCTGAAATCTTTTGCTGCAACATCAGCATCAGCATCAGCATCAAGCAGAGCTGGTCCATGTGGACACCGTGCTGTTTGGGGCCCTTCCTAGCATGATACTGCCTGCCTCCTAGGTTTGTTTGCTTTTGTCTGGCTGCCCCACCAAAAAGTGTTCCTGGATGGTGGGGACTTCCATGTGTTCACTGCCGGCTCCCCAAACCAGACCCTCTGCCATAGAGTAGATGGATTCAGATTCATAGGGATACATCTTTTGGGAGCGGACATACATGCGGGTGTGGCTGGGCGTTTGCCTAATGCTGAGACCCAGCGTCTGGCACTCCACGGGGCCCCCAGTCATTGTCCGCATGGCACAGGCCTGCTCAGTGGAAGCTGAGCACCACTAGCTCAAGTCCTGGG